CTTCAAGAAAGAAGACTTTCATGATAAGCAAACCGTGACAGCCGAAATCAAATTATCCAAAGTACTCATTGTTTTAGAGAAACAATAAGATGAAAACCCACCTCAGTCAACATTTAGAAGTCAAACAAGAATCTCGACCAGTCCATAGCCAGATTGCATTCGCAAAAACTTCAACCGTTGACTCGTGAGACCAGAATTTCAAAGATCGTGTGGCAAAACCAGCTGAAGATACATTCCGAGAAAACGGCGAAATCCACCTGTATTTTCGAACAAGACTTCATCAACAAAAGATTAGGATAATAGTGGTTTTCAATCCATCAAATGAGAATACTCTTATCTTCGGAGCCATATCATACAAAAGCCTCAATTCATCGGAGATAAACAACGTCCAAGACGAAACGGGGAGGAGATCTTCTAAATCAATTGCATCAAGGGCTTCCCATATTGGGTAAGTCTTCACAAGGACCACAGTTGGCACGCAGTTGGAAACCGGCATAAAAAAGAGACATCTCAAAGTGATCAGAATCTTAATGGTAGCTGAAGTGTCGTACACTCAAATCACCTATAGGAATGAGTGATGAGCGAAATCAAAAGTGGGATTGAAAGCGAGCAAAATTAAAAGTAAGAGTGAAGCGGGGGCTTACTGATATTCTCATGGCTTGGCTTACATAACTCTTACTAAAAATAACAAATTCGACATCATGACAACTAGCACACAAAAAAGGTTTTCTCCAGTTTGCACACACTTCTCGAAAGCAAAGTCTTGATATGGCTTTCAATTTTAATTCTCTACTAAACGTTTTCAAACATTTTTGCATTGGTCTTAAGTCAAGATTGATATAATCACTCTTTGTTTCGGAGAATAGAAAGTGAGTAATAGATCTTCAAGGGCAAAAACGGTCCACCATGGAAGAAGGGGAAGTCTGAGTACCCCAAGAATCGGTTTAATCAACTTTTCACTCATGAGTTAATGAAGAAATCTCAGGGAGTCTGAGAACATTCAGATCTCATTAAGTCAACCAGCCAATCAATTATACTCCAAATGCATAGCAAAAAAGGAGTCCTACTATACCATACTAACCGAGAATTATATGACTCTTAAACATGTGGGCCCATACCTGGCTGACAAAGAGGATGAAACAGTAGGCATCCTCAGCTCATCCCATAAAGTATATCTTCACACCATTACCACGAAGAAGATATATCTCAAGGCAACTAGCCAAGAGTCGCTCCGAGCCCGAGCAACAAGAGGATTAAGGTGGCGTACATCATCACCTCACCACATGATTTATATCCTCGCACAACTACCACCATGAAGATAACTTTCAAAAAATCAGGCTGGAAGTCTCACCAACTTAAGCAAAACCTGAGGATCAAGTTTACCAGAAGGCAATGGCAGTTCCTAGTGGATGAGCAATTCAAAGGAACCCTGAGCAGAAGCACAAGAAACTACAAACAAACAAAACAACATATTTGCTTACCAATTTTCAAATGCATCATATCACTCAACATTCACGACTTCATCAACATGACATATAACAAAATCATGTCCAAATCATTTCAATACCCACAACATAACATCATCATACATCAAAGTGACTTGCTATGCATCACAATCATTTCCTAAATTACTAAAATTTCCATCTAAACGTATAAGAAAACTTTTCATGCAAAAATACCACTACGCATATACCGAATGTTAGTTTGATCTTTATCGTTGGCATTTTCCTCATTGTTTGATTTGATTCCTATAACAAACAATTTGAGTACGTCTTTTACAAGATTGTTAGCCTCATCTTTATCACTAACATTTTCTCATTGTTTGATATGATTCCTATCACAAACAATTCGAGTGCAACGACTTTTATAAGATTGTTAGCTTGATCTTTATCGCTAACATTTCCTCATTGTTTGAATTCATTTCTATCACAAACAATTTGAGTACAATATACTTTACCAAATTGTTAATTTGATCTTTATCACTAACATCTTTCTCATTGTTTGAATTGATTTCTATCACAAACAATTCGAGTACAATATCCTTACAAAATTTTTAGTTTGATCTTTGTCACTAACATCTTCCTTATTGTTTGAATTGATTTCTATCACAAACAATTTGAGTACAATATCCTTTATCAAATCGTTAGTTTGATCTTTATCACTCACGTTTTCCTCACTGTTCTATTTGATTTCTATCATAGACAATTTGAGTACAATATCCTTTCCAAAATTGTTTGCTTGATCTTTATTCCTGACGTTTTCCTCATTGTTTGAATTGATTTCTATCACAAACAATTTGAGAACAATATCCTTTACAAAATCGTTAGCTTGATTTTTATTGCTAACATCTTCTCCTTGTTTGATTTGATTCCTATCACGAACAATTTGAGTACAACGTCTTTTAAAAATTTAGCTTGATTTTTATAGCTAACATCTTCTCCTTGTTTAATTTGATTCCTATCATAAACATAATGATTAGCTTGATTTTGATCGCTAACATTTTCACATTGTTTGATTTGATTCCTATCACAAGCAATTTGAGTACAGTGTATTTACAAAATGATTAGCTTGATCTTATCACTATCATCTTTCTCATTGATCAACTTGATTTCTACCACACACAACTTGATTACATCACTGTTGAAAAATGGTTAGCTTGATTTTATCGCTAGCACTTTTTCCAATATTATTTTCGATTTATATCTCAAACAACTTGAGTATATAGTTGTTACAACACCGTCTCTTACAAACCAATTAGCTTGATTTTATCGCTGACATTTTACAAAATGATCAATTTAATTTCTATCACATACAACTTGAGTGCATCGTTGTTACCAAATGGTCAGTTTGACTGTATCCTTATCACTCTTAAATATTCGGTTACCACCATTGTAGCAATTTGAATACGTCATTGTTACCAAATGGTGAGTTCAATTTCTACTTCCGAGATGTTCACATTTAAAATTTGGTGTCTTTATAGAACTTTGTATAACTCTTTATACAAAGAGATATACAAAGGGGACAACTGTAGACACCACATTTCGTCCGGGTTAATAGTTCAATTGATGAAAAAAGAATTTATTGCACATCGCACTACAATTATATTTTCAGAATAATTTGGTTGAGCCAAGCAGTTGCAAGTCAATAAATACCATTGTTTATTAACATAATGTTTAGGACTAATCAAGGTTTTGACATTTGGAATTGAGTGCAATGAGGTTGGATTTGATCGATCAGAATACATTTCTTTAGTCTAACCTCTTTACATCGTATACATGCCATTGATTTGCGAATAAATCACTATTGTAACTATATAATACAAGTATACAAGACTATGTGTTTACAACGAAAGCCGTAAACAAAATTCTAAAGATCTCCATGACTTGGGCCTATACGCATGGACCTGCAAAAGAAAAGAAAACCAGTCAAATCAAAGCCCAAACTCGGATTCAAAGTCCGGTCCAAGGTTCAAGGCAAGCTAATTCTAGCCCATAGTTCGGGCCCATATGTGAAGAAACTAGATCGGGCCCAACTTGGTCCAAAAAAAACCAAGCGTAACAGACCCAGACCGATTCGGTCTAACCATATCTTATCCAACCGACCTCAACAGGGCACACTTTTCAAAGTCAGAATAAAGAAATGCTCGAATCAGAGAGCGACACATGGCGGTTTAGTTTGCTTTAAATGAGTACCTTGAGCTCTTTGTTGAGGAGGACGGAGGGGAGTAAGTAGCAAAAATACTCTACAGAAATAAAATTTAGGCCTAATACTACTAGAACACCCGAACTATGAGCAAATGCCACTTGTGTCCTTTTCTTTTCAATATTCCATTTGTATCCTAAACTATTATTCTGTTAGTGTTGACCGGTGTTGACCATTAGTTTTTAACAGAAAGTCCAATCAGCATCTACGTGGCATTTGACGTGGAATTTAAATATTATTATTTTAATTATTTTTTATATAAATAAATAAACTTAAAAGGAAAATTACAAATTACAAAAATCGAAAACAAAAACAGATTCGTAAATCTCCACCCATATCTCCTCACACCTTCTTCCTTTTCTCTCCTCCTGAATTCCATTCGCAACCCAGATCCAATTTTGCTAAATAATCCCTCCACCCCTCCATCAATCCCCATTCCTCTGCTCGCCACACTTCCTGTCCCCTTCTTCCCCTGGTGCAAACCCCAAAATTGGAAAGGGATTTCAATCGACAACCCCACTGGAGTTGGAGACGATGACCGAACAGAGAGCTAAAGAAGCTTCCAACCTTCTTCAAATTTCCGAGCTCTTCTTAAATCCGTTTGGTCAGGTCGCTGAATCGAATCTCCTCTGCCCATTCGGTATGATTCTGCCGACTTCGCTTTCTTTGACGAGAATGGAATCCCACAGAGTTCTCGATGCTAGTGGGGGTGATGAATCCGATTGTTGATGAAATTCTTCAACGAGGATGGTGACGAGTGAACCCAGCTCTTTCGTCATAGATTGCGTGATTCGTAGATGCTGGCAGGCGTGGAGATCGATTTAAACTGAAATCACCGAATATTTCCAGCAAGCCTTTCCAACGACGTGTAGGGAGGACGATTATGGGGGATGATTATGATGATGGCGGGGTGCGGCTGGCGCCGAACGCGTTCCCGACGAAGCAAAAGTCAATGTTAAGTTGACCACCGTTTGGTCAACTGTTATCTTTAACGGTCAACGAAATTGGCAGGATACAAATGACACAAAATATAATAGTTCATGACATGAATGGAATATTGTATATAATAGGACACAAGTAGAATTTTTTGGATAGTTCAAGCGTTGTAGTGGTATTAGCCCTAGAATCGGACATCCAAACTTTCATTTTCAATTCTTGCTCATAAGCAAAAGTTCAGTGGGGAGATTTGTGAGATCGAAGTAGCAGATTTGTAAGATATAAGCAAAAGAAGCAAGTTGTCCAATCAGGTTGGTGCTTATATTTTTCCACCTTCTAAATGAGAACTGGTCTCATTAATTTACCACCATACAGTTTTATACGTCTACTTGCCAATGTACACTTAATCGTTTCGCTTACTTTACAAGCCTATTTAGATTCAAGCACCTCATTTACCAAGATATGCTCATATAAGTTTTTTTTTTTTTGGTCAAAAGATATCATGTGTTGATCGAAAAAATAGACAGTTACACCTTGGAAACCAGCCAGGTTTGGAAATCAAAGAAGCGACTCATAGTCGGGTACAAAGAGAGGGCTTTACTAGCTACCAAATGAGCTACTATATTGTTCTCCCGACCTACAAAACGCACACTAAAACCAGGCTAAGTACGAAAATAATGACCAATCTCTTCCAGAACAGTACCCAACCGTCTATCTCTTGTGTCGGCTTGATTAATTTTGTCAATAATCACCTTCGCATCGCCCTCAAATCGGACCTCCGACAAACCTTGCTCCACACACCAAATAATAGCTTCCCTGAGCACAAGCAACTCCACCACTACAGGATCATCCATTTGAGAAAACTGGACCCCTCTAGCCAGAAGGAGTGTCCGCGCTAGGTCAAAAAGAACCATCCCACCAGCTGAATGCGACCCACCCTTTGTAGCCCCGTCCCACATGCAAACCAAATGGGAATCGCCCACTTGTGATGTAGATTGCATCATCGTGATTTGCACCCTAGGCGCCTGGTTCGCTGGTAGACCCACCCATTCCTCATACTGTTGGTTAAATTTTAACATGAGCGTCGGGATCCCAAATTGTTTGCCTTCAAAGACAACCCAATTCCGAGATCGCCAGATCCTCCAAAGGATGGCAACAACAGCCATAACCACTGACGGTTGATGAAGCAACGCCAACAAACGTTTGAGAAACAAAGGAAAAGTATGCCGAGGCAAACCCTCCCCCAAGTATTCCAGCCCAGAATAATCCCAGAGAGCCCGCGCAACCGGACAATAAAGGAACAGGTGTTCCATTGTTTCCGGGCCATCCCAACAAACTGGACACCGAGGTAGCACATGGACCTTTTTCTCAATAAGTGCCTCCGTAGTCGGAAGAGCCCGATTAAGAATTTGCCAAACAAAAACCTTCAACTTCGGAGGGATCTTCGCCTCCCAAACTCTAATCCAACTGGGCTTATCCATCCAGCTAACTGAGAATCGCCACCCACCCCTCCTCCTGTCCAAATCGACAGTCAAATGGTAAGCCGACTTCACCGAGAAAACTCCATCGGTCGTAATATGCCAGATAAGCCTATCAGGCACATCCTAACGCGGGAGAGGAATAACTTTAATAGCCCTACAGGTGGGCGGGTCAATGTAACATCCTAACCCGGACGGGTACTACTTTTACTAAAATGCCCTTGATAAATAAAATACTCAAATATTAAATTGCAGCGGGAAAAATTTTCATAAATAAAATACCGAAAACACACTTGAAGTTCAATGCAAAGCCCTAACACGTGGCAAATTAAACTCACACTTTAAAATCTCAATCCGATCTCAAAATAATCTCCAGTCTGTACTCATAATCATAAATGTAAATAACTAATAATCTCTGAAGTTGTTGCTACTGAAAACCTTGACTAAGCATCTTCCGTGACGCTTATACTGCACTCCTCTAGCTGGCTGCCCTCGAACTCGCTGCTCACTAACTGCTCCTCTAGCTCCTCAAACTGGTGAATGAGATGGGGTCAATCTACGCCTTTACGTTTTAATATTTCTAATACTTGAGTACTTTACTTAAACACTTAACTTTAACTAGTGGAAGTTGTTTGTACTTCCAATCTTAAAATCTTAACTCTTAAACTTTGAGAGAGTTGAAGTTACTCTCCTCTCTTAAAACTCAAATCTTGACTTCAATACTTGACTGACACAGGGATCCCTCACTAGCTAGTCCTGTTGCCAACTCATATGTATGAGAAGCCATACAGGCTTTCCTTAAACTTAAACTTAAACTTAGTTAGGGGAGTCGCAATGATTCATCCCCCTAACATCTTAAACTTATCGTGGTGGCTCTTCACCACGATTCTCAAGAGAATAACTTCTGCTCATCTTAAAAGTCTCAAGAGCATAACTGCTACTCTATCTCAAAATTTCTCAAAAGGCAATGAACTGGCGCTAGTGACTAAAAACACTTAAAACGACTTCATCTTCTTGAAGGTGAGTTACTTCTTAAAAAGAACCTGTTTATTAAACTCATAGATCAAGCAAAGCACAAATAATCAATCAATAAACATAATCAAGCAACGGTAACCAATTCGCTAAAATACTTAAATGAATACGTAAGGCGTAGAATTTACCCCCTTTACACTCACCCCAGTAATCCGATGACGAACCTCAGCCATCATTAAGGGTGGATCAACGTCGCCGCTGCTTCTCCTTGGATTTCCATAAGGAAGAACTGGATTTACTACTCGTCCCTCTTGCGTTGGCTATCTTATTCAGCTACCACCTCTATCACCCTCACTGCACCGCTATCGGCTTCCAGAACAATGACAAGAGAGCTTGGTCGAGAGAATCATGCAGGTAATCAAACAAAAAATTCCTTCTTTCATGAATCCCCTTTCAGTCTTTCGGTTCAGACCAAACACCATTTTTTATGCTCTATATCAGCCACTATGAAGAATATTATGGCGGCTTGTTTCAACACAGACGAGGCAGACTTCTTTAACCCTTTTCTTCGCTTGGAAATCTGAGCAACCGAGTCTATTAATAGCTAGCGGCGCTGATTAGCAATTTTGATGGCCTGCGAAGAGTTTTTTTTCTTGTTGTTCTTCTTCTTTTCGATACGGCGTTGTGAGGACGATTGCAAAGAAATTTTAGTGCCGATGGAAGTATTCCAGCAATGGCGTCTTGGAAAAAATATTTCTTCTCCTTTAGGATCCGACATGGAGAGGACGATGTCGATTTTTGGTGTCTGGGACCGGTGGTTTTAGGAGGATGATTTCCGCTAGCAAGAGGTAGGGTTCAGGTTAGTTTTATGCCACACCCATGGAGTATTTTGGGAATTTTCTGATTAGTTGGTATCGAGTGAGTTTAATCCGAAACTCCGCTAATATCCATAACTTCCTCATTTTATGTCGAAACTCGACACAGTTTGAACCAATAGTTCACATTTTTAATCCTCATTGGTAATACGGTGGAACTTGACCCAAGGGTAAAATAGTCATTTTGACTTTTGGGAAGAGCGGGGTTTAACATTTTCTCCACCCTTATAAAAATTTCGTCCCCGAAATTTTATCGGGCGCAATCCTTCCATACTCCTCATTCTCGTGCTTCTTTAGCTCAAGATTTCACTCTTTCTATATGAACTTCAATGCGTGCCCTTACCTTGTCTTGAGTAGATTACTATAATTCTTATATGTACTCTTGACAACAAAAGGTATTCTCATCTAGCTCGGTAGCATAAAATAGGTTTGAGTGACTCATTGCCCTATTCAAAATTTTCCAACTTGGGCCCAGTACTTGATGTTGAACCTATCGAAGTCGAGGTATCACATTTCCTCCCCACTTATAGAAGTTTCGCCCTCGAAATTTGTCCACTGTGATTACCCTAAGCATCGCTTCTGGTAATACTTTTCACTTCGCGGATTTTTATTTCCTTTAACTTATACGACATGACCTAAAATCCTTCTCTCCATTCCCGGCAACTTCAATGTTGTTGTGGCTTCTTAACCCCTCACATTACCTCGGTTGCACCTTGTACATATATAGGAACGATAACTATCCATTGTTTGGTATATGAGACGTTAATGTTCCTCTTGAACCCCAGGGTTACATATGTTGGATTATCCTCCATCTAGTCAGATGGTAAACTCCTTTAACGTAACTCTCGTCCAGATTGACCTCATAGGTCACCTAGGTCCTTGTGTCTCCTAACTCTGCATCTCTTACTTTCTTCCTCAATGCCTCGTCTTATCCCTTAACCATAAACTGAATGGTCACCTCCTCGTTACTTGTTGCTTAGTGTTGGAACCTCATAGTACTGCTTCTACTTCCTGTATGCATTAGAGGCATCCTTTGCATCTTTCTCTATCTTGCTAACAACTTTATGACTCCTTTCCAGAATCATGACCTCACATTTTGCATACTTGTTCACTTCTACCTTAAAGTTGACCATTAAGCTTCTCCATTCTTGATGGGCTTCCTATGGTCCAACTTATTCTCCACTGGCCATCACCTTAACGCCTCCTTGTTGACCTTCGTATTCTTTCGCCGGCTCTTCCTAACTATCTTTCTCCGTGAATTAGTCTTTTTATCAACTACCACCCTTTTCACCATAACTTTCATTATAGCTTGTGGTTTCCTCCTTACTTCCACAACTCCTTCATCGATGCTTGGTACTAGCTTTGATCTACTCAGTTTAGTAGCTCCTCGCCATACCTCAGAGCCAACATTTCCACTAGAAACTTTCTCTAGGTAGACTTGACAGATAACACCCACGACTTCTACTCACGATGGTGCTTGACCACGTCCCAACTATCTTCCTTCACGCATTCATTGTCCGGTCGACAACCACCTTTTTTATTTTATTTCCTATAGCGTCCTATGGTGTTCTCCTTGCTTCTTTACTTTTACTACCCTTCTGTTGGTGCTTTGTACTATTTTCGGTCACCAAACTTTGTTGAGTATCTTCTCGTTGTTGTTTTGGGTCAAAGCTTCCAATAGTGGCTTGCCCTTGGTAGGCTTGAACATACCTCCTTCACGTCATTTGTCTCAACCGATGCTTGTACATAGCCTTAATCTCTTAGTCATGGCTCTTAGTGGCTCAACTAAATATCACTAATTTATCCTTAACTGGCCTTCTTTTATGGATGACATCCTACTATGTCATACTCGCTCAGAGTGGGGAACCATGGGTAAGGTAACTTAATGATTTCCTCCTTCTTAGTAATGTTTTTCCTCGTCGTACTCCACTATACATTTTCTTGAACACGAGTCACCTACACATATTCTCAATCCTTCATCGAAACTTCCATGTGTTTCCTCGAATTCTCTCCATTCACTAGAACATTTATTGAACATTCTACTTACTTGTCTATACTCGGTTGTCTTAATGACATACTCTATAGCTAGTTCCGAGACCTCAGCTCTTAGCCCTCTAGTTCCAACTTAGTAGAGAGGTTCCTCCTTCTGTCACCCCTCATGTACCCTAGGAGGCTAGGTGTTCCCTCTATTTAAGAGATGACAATCCCATAATAGATCATCGTGAACTCTTGCATACCCCTTTGATGACTCGATATTTGCACATGTTTTCCCCTTTGTTTCTTGACTGTTTGAGCTTTAATTATCGCGTCTTTGGCCTATTTTACGCTAGGTTGTGTTCCTTTGTCACATTTCAGGTCCTAGCACATAAAGTGAAGCATAGGCACAAGTTTCAAGTCAATCAAAGATCAATTGGCGATTAGGGAGAAGAAACTCGGGCATGACCTAAAGAAGAATGGATTTATACCTCACTTTATGGACAAATAATCATGCAAGCTTTTCATGAAAAGAAAGAGGACAAGACTACGAGCGTCTGGGATCAAAGGACGACTATTCGGATTCCGGACGAGGGAGAAACGAAGCATTGAATATAGGGGAACTGGTTCGGCAGTAAAAACACGGGCGGGCAAAAGTAAAACACGATCGTGTCCTCAACTGTGTTTTGCCCAGAATCGGGTTTTTTAGGCAGATTGAAGCCAAAGGAAAGGGGGGATCTGGGTTTTGGATCCCAAACACCCAAGGGACGAACAAAAGAGAGACAGGGCGATATAAGGGCATTCTAAGAGTGGAATTGGAGGATTTCTTTGCCTTGGAAGCTCGAGGAACAAGCCTAGACTTGAAGACTGATCATCTGAAGATTCTTACTGCAGTCTCTCTCTTCTCTATGGAGTAACTTCCATTCACTTAGGTTTTGAGGAACCCTAGCTATGTTTGTTTGATTGGATGATTGTATGAGTACTCTTACTTGATAATCTTGAGTTCATATTCAATCTATGCATGTTTTCATGATTCAATTATGCTTTAATCGAGATTATTGATTCTGCTTTGATCCTATGAGAGCGAATACCTGATTAGGTCAATAGAGCACCATAGATTGATACTAGTGGATCGATTGCTTTAGTCGAGGGTTGATTCACTACTTTATATCGATTGAGAACCTCTTTCAATAGAGGGAGTCTAGTTCAGAAAGCCTTGATCGGTTTTTCTAGAGAAGGATACGTCCCTCTAGGCAATTGACTCAAGAGGGCCTTGTTCCTTTAGTCGAGACTCAAGGTCTAGTCAAGGATTCTCCGCATTGTGAATGAAAGTGAAACAAGTTAGATATCATTAATCTGGCTAGTGGCTAGGGGGAATCATGCCTAAGTGAGTTCCCAACCTGTAATTAGATTAACTTTAACTGTAGTTTGCTAGAGTAGTTTTAGTTCTTCCTTATTAATCTAGTTTGCTAAATAATGAACTGAAGCTGAGTAATAGTAACTCTAGAGACCCGTGGATTAGATATTTATTACTTGAGCCACTATACTGCAGTCCCTTCCATTGGTTACACTTGGCCATTGTTAGGAGTTGTTTCATAACAGTCCCAACATCCTCCTGACCTTTCATGATTTGGGTAGTTTGTAGGGTCTCTATTGTCCTCCTTCTAACTCGGTGTTATCTTGGTATCCAACTCACCCACTTCTGAGAAGTGGTTCTCTATTCGTACTGTCATCTACTAGCTAACTGTTATTCTCTCTCACAATCCATGTCTTTTCTTATGTATTGACCCCCCACTGTCTTCTACCAGGCATGCTTTAGACTTGGGTGGCACTTTCCTCCACGTCTCGTGCAATGGTGCTCGTATTGAGACCATAACTTTCCCTCTATATTATTTATCTCATTGCTTGTCTTGTTCCTTCTAAAGGCTTGTCATCGGCCTAACTCCCCAGGGTTACGTACCCTCTTCTCTAGTTACGTGGTTTATCTATAAGGGTTCGTTCATCGGCATATGTAAATGAAATTGCCTCCTCTCCTTCTTAAACTTTTGACGTCCTTTCAGACCTCCCTCTAACCTACTTATTTCCTCCTTTACCTCATTTATACTACCCTAGCTTGTCTTGAAGACTAAGCTTTCCACTGCTCCTTGTCACTGGTTTGTATTAGTATCTGCCACTAAGATCAATTGAGTGGTTCGTCGTGGAACCTCTTCTTTTCTTGACTTTTGCCTCCTCGCCACTGCTTAGGGTCAAGAACCCTTAAATCCTCTAATCATTATAGCTACTGCCATCTAGTGATTGTAGATCTTTCTTCGGAGATTCATAGTTCTCCTATTTGTTTGCTTTTGCTTATTAGATCCTCTCATTGCTGCCTAGTAGTAAAATCCTCGTACTACTCCTTCAACTCCTTCAAAATCCTAGAGGTATTCCCTTACGATTGAAACCTCTTCTATTAGAACTTTAGTTATTTACCTTAATACGATTAGAGTATACTGGAGATTCTATCAACTCTTAAAAGAAGATCCTTGACTCATTTTCCTTTCCTTTAAAACAAAAGCCTTTAAAACTGAGAGCGATATTCCAGTATTCCTTGGAGACCAAGGAACAGAGGAAAACCAAGCTCTGATACCAAAATGTAATACCCTAACCCGTCCGGGTACTACTTTTACTCATAAATGTAAATAACTAATAATCTCTGAAGTTGTTGCTACTAAAAACCTTGACTAAGCATCCTCCGTGACGCTTATACTGCTCTCCTCTAGCTAGCTGCCCTCGAACTCGCTGCTCACTAACTGCTCCTCTAGCTCCTCAAACTGGTGAGTGAGATGCGGTCAGTCTACGCCCTTACGTTTTAATACTTCTAATACTTGAGTACTTTACTTAAACACTTAACTTTAACTAGTGGAAGTTGTTTGTACTTCCAATCTTAAAATCTTAACTCTTAAACTTTGAGGAAGTTGAAGTTACTCTCCTCTCTTAAAACTCAAATCTTGACTTCAATACTTGACTGACACGGGGATCCCTCACTAGCTACTTCGGTTGCCAACTCATACGTATGAGAAGCCATCCAGGCTTTCCTTAAACTTAGTTAGGGGAGTCGTAATGATTCATCCCCCTAACATCTTAAACTTATCGTGGTGGCTCTTCACCACGATTCTCAAGAGCATAACTGCTGCTCATCTTAAAAGTCTCAAGAGCATAGCTGTTGCTCTATCTCAAAATGTCTCAAAAGGAAAACGGACTGGCGCTAGTGACTAAAAACACTTAAAACGACTTCACCTTCTTGAAGGTGAGTTACTTCTTAAAAAGAACTTGTTTATTAAACTTTGACAATAACTCATAACATAACGATTTAAGGTAAATAGCACAAAATCACCTCAAATAGCAAAAAATCACCTCAATCATAGCTCAAGCAAAGAACAAATAATCAATCAATAAACATAATCAAGCAACGGTAACCAATTCGCTAAAATACTTAAAATCATAATACTTAAAGGCAAAATACACTTGTACAGCCAAAACTTTCGCATTGATGCCAATAATAGCCACATTTGGAGAAATACCATTTATAGCCAGATTTTCTTGTTGTTGTATGACAAATCTAGCCATTTCCATTAGATACTTTAACGGTGTTAGTAACACCGTTAAGTTCTTTGACAGTTCGCTGACTAGGCTCATACTCGGCACACACATCATCGCCAAATAAGCACAAAGTGACACATCATAATTTAAATTTATTTAATAATTACACGTCATAAATTATTTAGTAAAAATAATTAATTAATTAAATTTTGCCCTTCCCAACCTCACTTTCCCCTTCTCTCTCTTCATTGGCGTTGGTACTACTAGAGAGAGATAACGAGTTCTTTTCGTTATTGTCTTGAAGCAGGGGCCAAGGAGCTTGTTCTGGAGGAATTACTACTACTACTAGACTTCATTTTCCCTCCTTTCATCTCCTTTACAACATTCACACTTATATACTCAACGTGATATTGGATTGAGAAGCCGATCGGAATGCAGAGAGGAAACTCGAGCGGCAAAACGGGAAGAACAAGAGGTAACGCTTCGGAATCAGAGACGCTTCTTCAATCTGATTGACGAGGTGTTGACCACCATCGCTTGATGTTGAAATTTCGAGATCTAAAGAGAGGGAGAGAGAGTCGGCCAGATCCAGAATCGGCGCCCGACGGCGACGAGCTTGAGTGGGTAGATGAACAGGCTCGACTCGGAGAGGACGTACGCCCCAGATCTCCACGCCGCTGAAGCAAAATCAACGCCCCAGATCCACTTTCCTTCCCTTTCCCTCCTCCTTCCCAATTTCAACGCCCTAGCTCGACCCTGAATCCTCCCCCAGATCCACCCGCCTCTAGCTTCATATGCGCCGCTACCCTAGACAACCTCCGCCGTTGAGAGAATGAAGTCCCTCCGGTCGTTGTCAAGACGGCAAGGAGAGCCAGCTGCGAAAGGTGGGAAGCAGCGGTGAGGGAGGTTGTCATCGGGAGCTTGCGTCCCATATGGTTTTGTCAATTAATAGTGGCTCCATTTGATTGGGGAAATAGTTGAAATCAGAGAACTGTGACTTTGTCAATTAATCTAGGGATTCTTGAGCCTGTATTTTTTGTTTTGTTTTTTGTTGATATGGATGAGGAAAGGGGATTCATGACAGAAGGAATTTTGTTTGATTACCTGCATGATTCTCTCGACCAAGATTTCTTGTCATTGTTCTGGAAGCCGATAGCGGTGCTGTGAGGGTGATTGAGGTGGTAGCTGAATAAGATAGCCAACTCAAGAGGGACGATTAGCAAATCCAGCTCTTCCTTATGGAAATCCAAGGAGAAGTAGCGGCGACGTTGATCCACCCTTAACGATGGCTGAGGTTTGTCATCAGATTACTGAGGTGAGTGTAAAGGGGGTAAATTCTACACTTTACGTATTCTTTTAAGTATGGCAAAATACTCTTGTATAGCCAAAAATTTTGCGTTTGTGCCAATAATAGCCAAATTTGGAGAAATACCACTTATAGCCATTTCCGTCCAATACTTTAACGGTATTATCTAACAGGGTGACTGGACTAACATCAATGGTTGACGGGGCATATTTTATTCTAAAATAATAATAGGTGGAAATCATTAAAATTTTACCCTTTATTTTACCCTTTATTTTTGGCTATCTTATTCAGCTACCACCTCAATCACCCTCACAGCACCGCTTGCATCCCATATGGTTTTGTCAATTAATAGTGGCTCCATTTGATTGGGGAAATAGTTGAAATCAGAGAACTGTGACTTTGTCAATTAATCTAGGGATTCTTGAGCCTGTATTTTTTGTTTTGTTTTTTGTTGATATGGATGAGGAAATCAGTGAGATTATTTTTTTTTACATTTTATTATTTAATTTAACTAAAAATAAAGGGTAAAATTTTAATGATTTTCCACCTATTATTATTTTAGAATAAAATATG